TGTAAAAATGATTAGATCATCAGCAAAGCATAAGTGTGTAAGCTGCACTTTGGCACATTTGGGATGGTACACAATCTTTCCTTCTATGGCAGCTTTGTTTAGCAAACGAGAGAGTATCTCCATACAAATCACAAATATATAGGGTGATAAAGGGTCACCCTACCTCACCCCCTTTTTCCCTGGAAAAGATCCTGCTAAGTGCTATTAAACACTACAGAGAACATTGGTGTTATCATGCAGGCTCTTATCCAATCAACAAATTTTATAGGGAAATCAAGAGCTAAGAAGACTTGAAAAACAAAATCCCAGCAGACTGAATCAAATGCCTTCATAAGATCAATTTTGAGTGCACATCTGGGGCTAAAACCATTCCTGTGATAATATTTCACCAGCTCATGTGCTAAAAGTACATTCTTAACCATCAATCTTCCTTCAATAAAAGCACACTGGTTTTTACTAATAAAATGTGGCAGGCATTTTTTCAATCTATTAGCCAGAATTTTAGTAATGAATTTATAAACTAGGTTGCAGCAAGAGATAGGCCTGAACTCTATCATCTTGGTATGATTGCTTACTTTGGGAATTAAGGAGATAAGAGTAGAATTTACTTCCTTCAGCAGGTTACCTGATGTGAAAAATTCCTGAATTGCCTTGATCACTAAATCACCAACCACAGGCCATGCAGCCTTATAGAATTATGATGTAAAGCCATCTGGTCCAGGCTCTTTGTTTGTTGGGCTATTGAAAACCACATCCTTAATTTCTTTAGCTGTAATAGGTTGTGTGAGGGAACTTTTCATATCATCAGGCAACTGGTATTGAAAGTTTTTTAAACAATCTGTTTCAATCTGACTATAGTTTCTGTCAACTGTCCCTAGCAGTCCCTTGTAAAAACCAACAGCCTCTTCTTGCATATCAGATGGGGAGGTGAGTTTCTTGTTGTCAAGTGTGTATAGCTCCCTTATTGTGTTTTTACAAGTTCTAGCCTTAACCACCTTATGGAAATAGGTTGTATTGCCATCGCCCTCTTTTAGCCATTGAATCCTTGATTTTTGCTTAAAATAGGACTCCTCTGCCAGTTGCAAAGCAGCCAACTTCTGAGCTTGCTCCTGCTCAATACTAACTAAAGCATTATGAGGAAATGCCAACAAATCTGCTTGTATAATATGCAGCTTGCTTTTTTCCTGTTGTAATCTATTCTGCAAATCACTGTAGTGCTCTTTATTTAGCTTCTGAAGAACTAATTTCAAAGCTTCCAGTTTCTTGTATAGCTGAAACATATAGCATCCATGTACTGAATTAGTCTCCCAAGATTGTTTTACCAAAGCAAGGAAATTTTCATGCTTAGTGCAGAAATTAAAAAAATTTAAAAGGCTTTCTATCTCTTGTCTCCTCAGGGATTTTTATGTGTACTAATCCTGCACAATGGTCAGAGCAACCTGGTGGTAGAAATTCTGCAGTAGTATTGAGGAAGACATTGAACCAAAACTCATTTACCATTAAACGATCTAGCTTTTTTGCAATGGGGTCTAAGCACCTCTTATTTGACCAAGTAAAGAATGAACCAGCAGTGGGCAAGTCATGAATTTCAACTTCATTAAGCATCTTATTGAAAACCTCTGACTCCTTCGGAAGACAAGAAATGGATTGCCAATCTGATCTCTCACACAAGGCCCTAATTTCATTAAAATCTCCCCCAACCAACCAGGTTACATTAGGCAAAGCTTGACTTATGGCTACTAGATCCCCCTATAAATCTTGCCTCAGATCAACAGAATAAGGATCAGCATATATCACACTCAAGAACAGATATTGAGCAGTTGTTGAATTGAATACATGACAATGAATAGCCTCATGATGCATACTAGATATAGACATTTGAATATGGGGTCTATGAAATACCCAAATTCTTCCTAATTTGGCATGCTCATAGTTTTTAAGTGCAGTCCATCTAGGCAACAAAGAACCGGAAACCATAATGAAATTCTTCTGTTGGACATGAGTTTCTAGCAAACATACAATATCTGCATTATACTGAGATAAGTAACTCTTAAGACTCCTTTGCTTACTAGGCATATTAGTGCCTCTCACATTCCAAATTAGGATCTTCATTTAGGTTGGGAAGAGGATACCTCACCAGAGGAATTTGAACTTTTTCTAGGCTGTCTTTGCTTGGGAACTAGTGCCTTTATTGCTACAGCAACTCCCTGGGAAGCTGTTCTCACTCTTCTTGGCTCAAGAATGGGCGCAGCATCGGCTTGAGGTTGTTCAGATACTTGGGCAAGCTCAGAAGATTTTTCCAACACATCAAATGAATTAACAAGTGGGAGACTTGGGCTCTTTGAAAGCACCATGGGTTCCACTGCCTGCACAACTTGAATATCCTTCTCTTGAGCTGGCTCTTTGTCTTACTCAACTATAGCCTGCTCTTTCTTTTTTCCCTTGGAAACTATGCGCCATTCTTGCTTCTGTACAACCATACTTTGACTCTCCTTTGTACAGTCCTGACTGGTATGACCCTCCTTTTTACAAGTCTCACACTTGACAGGGAGCCAAGGATATTCAAATGAGACCTCCTCCTGCAAATTACCATCAAGATTCACAGGTGCAGACTCAGGAAGAGTGTGAATCTTTTCAACATCTACTTCAACATATATTTGGGCAAAATTAACACGAGTACGCTGCTCAATAGCCTTGTCGAGAGACAAAGGTCGCCCAATTACACTAGCAATGTAGCTCAGACCTTTAGGCGTATAAAGAGACAAAGGCACACCCCAGATCTTAACCCAGATTGGCATCTTTGCAGGTTTGGCCTTGGAGAGCACTGCATTAGGGTCCCACTTTCGTAGAATCAAGATCTTGTGCCTTACATGCCATGGAATCTTGGAATTTAGAACCCAATCTCTAGTTGCACTATCAGGAATCTGGAACAGGAAAGTACCATTACCCATACCAGTAACTAAGATTTTCCCTTTCTTGCCCCAGAGGTGATTAACTGTATATACAATATCACCATAATTCGGAGAGGAACTACCCAAGAAACTCCCAATAAGGCAATTCTCCCAAGATTTGATTCCTTCTTGATAGACTGAGCTAGGCGGTTTCACGACTGGCTATCCGTCAACCATCTCAGGAGGGAAATAAGAGAGAGAAGCCTTACCCATAACATTTGTAGAGCAAACCTCACCCATGTCGCTTGTTACTACATCTGCCCAAGAAATTCTTGTTTGTGCGACTGGATTCACAGCAGGAGAAGTATCGGCCACCGGGGAAGATGCAGACACCATTACGGAGGTCGATTTGGTAGCAGGGATTGATTTTGTGCCAATAATACCTTGAATCTCGGCATGCAACTTGTCACGCAAAACTTCAGAGGATTTGGACGAGGCGCCATCGTGATGATCTAATCTTACCGGCGAACAAATTGCAGAAATCCTGGGCGAATTCCGACGAGAATGCGCCATGGACGACAGTAACTGTTTTCTCTCTCTTAGACAGTTATCACTCTAGGAGAGAGCCTTTCAACAAAACGTCACCTCTCTCATGTTTATTTTGGAATCCGCTCAAGGTATTACCAAATTTTTTTAGTAGCAAAGCATGAATTCTTCTGTTTTCTCAGATTTGCTTTCTTTTGTTAAGCATGATATTATTTGTTTAACTTTTTATGCTTATAATGGGAATGGCCTTAAGAAATCTGTGCTGTTTTGTACTGCTACCATGTTGATTCTTCATTCTTTGTGTATTTTCTTTTCATTCTTGGCTTTAATTTTCCTTAGCAAATCAGAGGAGGTATGGTGTTAATTAGCTATTGTTCTTGTGATTGGCAGGACTCCTCGCTCTTTAATTGCTGGATTGATGTGGATTGGTTTGAAGGATGGAAGGTATTTTATACGACATCTCTGTCAAGACTCTGATGAGCTAAGCAGATATGGGTGGACACAGCATAATGTACGTGATTTTGGACATCAACTTCTGGTTGACCAGGACATGACCCTGGAAACAAGTTTCTTGAAAGCTAAAGGGGGTGGCAGTGCCCATGGAGGTGATTGGGCAGTAAGGATTGATGTGCAGAGTGAGAAGTAATTGTCTGAACTATTGCAACATTTAACGTTTCAAGAATGTGCAATAAATACCATGCGAATAAATACCATGCGGACATATCTGATTTTTCTACTTTACGTGTCTTAATTAGCTGATATTTATGTGATTCTATCTTGATTGATCATGTGAAAGATCTAGGTGGAATGATGAATTACAGAAAAATGCCTACCTTGTTCTCTATTTGGCTGATGAAGATGGAAGTGTTATAAGTTTAAGCCAACATACCTTACCCATTCATGAGAGTTCTCTGCTAGCTTCAGGTTGACGAGCTGATAATGGACACAGGCAACTGCATCTTAAATCAAAGGTGATAAGACAATAGAGTACTGAAACCGCAGTAGAAGGTGACAAGACCTTGCATCTTGTGAAACATAACTTGATCTCATCATTGTAAAGACTTGCCCATAAGCTCCGAAATTCTTTTGGCACACTTGCTGTGGTGCTATGTAAGCCATTCTAAATAAGATGGGCTTCATTCCTTTGCATTTTACTGAGTAACTAGTTTAAATTGACCACCCATAAAATTTCTCATGTGCCCCTTATTTAATATCTAAGGAAAATGTGAATTTGTTTGGTTACTCATGTCACCAATGACCAGTTAGGATTTAATATTTAGAATTTGTTATTCTAAATTTCTAGACGTCTATAAAATCTGATCTGAGCCAACTCTTCATATTTGCCCTTCACAGGCTGGTTTGGAAGTCACTTATGCACAAACAATAACTCCAACTACGCCAAATGAACTCCCTTCTATTTTTCTCTTTTGATTCTTGATACATTTTTTGTGGTCAATTCTGTATTTCAGTCTGCATAATATCCAAAAGATACATTTTTGTAATTCAGTATTTGGATTTTGGCCCATTGATTTGAAGATTTTGGTCCATGTTTCAGTTTGGGCTGATTTAAGCTCAAACAAAACCCAGCCCACAAGTACATCCGTCCTCCTGGCCTCCCTTAGTCACTTAACTCACTAGACTCAGTTTTCTCTGCAATTGCAATGCAATGGAAAACCTGATGTATTAAGTAGTGCAGTATACCGTATACGTAGTTGATAGCCGGAAATCGGCCAGCGGTGGTAGACGAAGTGGTCAGGCGAGAATCAGGTCCTCCGTAGATTCAAATGAAGACGATTCTCTTGGCAAAATTACACCCAAATCAAAGTGCCGTCGAGAGGAGTGAAGACGATGGCAGTGCACTTGGAATTCTTGAATTTGTGTAAGGGTTTCAGCGTTTTAGTATTCCAAATCATCTTCTTCGCAGTCAACATCCGTGAATCCCTTTTGAGAAGCTCGGACACTTACTAGGTATATGAAATCTGAACATG